TTTTTTTCCTTTTTTCTTTTTTCTTTTTTTCATTCTTTCTTTCATTTATAGCATAAGAAATTGAGAAGAAACTTATTTATCCGATCCTTGTTTCCTTCGTTACATTTATCATCGTTAATATTCACGCGATTCGTAATCTTTTACGATCCTTCATTAGAATCGAAATCCTTTCGTTATTCGTCGATATAGAATTTTGAAAATATTATGTTCTTCTCTATTTCTCTTTCCTTCTTTCATTCATTCATTTTTGCTTACTTTCTTTCTCTCTCTCTCTCTCTCTCTCTCTTTCTTTCTTTCTTTCTTTCTATCCGTCGGCACACGCTCGGCGAGGAGCACGAAAGTTCATTTCCTCCGATAAAGCGATAGGAACCAACAACCGTGATCGTCTCGGGGCCGTAACTTCTTCATTCAGAGACTGCCAACGTTACGAAGTGGCCCGCTAGAAGGTTCGTTCGGGTCGCACTCGAGGAGATCGAGGTTCTTTCGAAATAGGCAAACCTTGAATGGGTCTGGTGTTACGGTGACACCTGCGTTACCGCGCAAACTCGGCAACGAGGCGCCCTCAGGTAGCCTAAGATCGAATGTATGTAAGAGCGAACTGAAGAATAGGAAGAGTTCCATGCGCGCTAGCACGTCGCCGAGACACATCCGCCTACCGACACCAAACGGCATGAAATACTCCGGTTTACAGACCTTTCCTTCGGCGGAAAGGAAACGAGTAGGACGAAACTCCTCTGGTTCATTCCACAATTCCGGATCCATGTGTACTGCATGCAATAGTGGTACAACTTGAGAGCCAGCCGGTATCGTGTAACCATTCAATGTTACATCCCTGTAAGATAAATTTAACAAGGTGGGTGATTAAGAAGAGAAGGGAGTCTTTTGAATAAATAATATATATATATATATATATATATATATATATATATATATATAAAACAAAAAAAAAACAGTAAACGAAAACAAAAGAAAAAGAAAAATAAACAAAGTCGGTATATAATCGTCTAACGAGAGATTAATGGTAAGGCGTGATATCTTTGTCGTTTCTAATGGCGGACACGTGTACACTTAAGTAAGTTAATAATGTAGTTTCTCACTTTCGAGCAATGAAACACGACCGCACGATACGTCTCTTGGATTTCTTGGCTCCTTTGTTCGCGCACACGATGGAAACGGTGTCGTCGACCTCGAACCAACCAAGCCCCGAGTAAAGGTGGGCCCGGCCGAAAAGCAGACAGGGGGCCACGCACCTTTGCTTTCACTTTTGCTTGCCGAATAATCGGCAATCGCGAACGAACGAGATTCCGACATTATAGCAGACTACACGCGGAACGCCTTCGTAGAAGGAAGACCGAGTGGTCTCGGTCAGTTGTGAAATCCCGATTCGAATTCCCGCCCAATCGAACGGACACGCCGATTAAACTTTTACTCTTCTTCTTCTTCTTCTTCTTTTTTTTCCTTTCTTTCTTTCTCTCTCTCTCTCTTTCTTTTTTTTTTGTATCGATATCAAGACAAGACAATGAAAAAAAAATGTTCTGAAATGTTCGCTCACCTTGTGGTAGCATGAGTTGTTCCCAACGGGACGATGCTCGATCTTCTTAAGACTTCGAGGATCGTTGCCTCGGTCACCGGAAGAAACGGTAGATCCTCCAATGCCGGCATTCTCGATCTTCCGACTACCTGATCCAATTCTTCCTGTACCGCTTTAGCAGCCTCGGGGTGGTGCAACATGAGAATCACTGCCCATTCCAATGTGGTCTTGACCGTTTCCATGCCGGCGGAGAAAAGATCACCAAGAATCTGTTGCATTTGACGATCTGCGAAAGGGGAAATGAGAAACGGAGTTTTTAGAGGCAAAAAAAGAAAAGGAAAAAGAAAAAAAAGAAAAAAAAAAGAAAAGAAAAAAAAAAAAGAAACAAGTAAAAGAGAACAATGAAAGCAAAACATGAAAGAAAAAAGAAAAAAAGGAAGAAAAAAATTACACCGGAAATAATACGTATTGATTTTGTCTTTTCTTTATTTTTTTCTTTATTTATTTATTTCTTTTTTCCTCTTTTTCTTCTCTCTCTCTCTCTCTCTCTCTCTCTCTCTCTCTCTCTCTCTCTTTCTTTCTTTTCAGAACAAACGATCTCGATTACTCACCGTGATTCTTGCCTTGAAACAGCAGTGCCTCGCGTCCTTCGGCCTTAGCCTTCTGGATTTCCAAGAGATAAGCGTCGACGAGATCGCGAATGTTGTTCTCGTCGAAGGTGACTCGATGCTGGTCGACCGTTTCTTGAAAGAAATCAGCCATTTCGGCACGATTCTGCGAGATCTTGTTTTGAACTTTTTGAAGACAAGGAAGATAACGCATAATCGGGATAAAATTAACAGCCGCTATACTCCCGAATAACTTGAATCCTTCTTCGATCAGATCCATGAACCTTTTGAATCTCGAATCACCGTGATGGAAGCGAACTCCCATGATGATCGAACAGATCACATTGCTGATCGACATACCGAGGGAAGGTGATACGTCCGTCGGTGCTCCTTGTCTCGACAATAAACCTTGGATAAAAGTATCGACCTCTCTCTGTAATCAAATCGCGATCGCGTTTCGTTCGTTATTTTAACATTTCACGGTCATCGACACCGATATATATATATATATATGTATATAAAATTCGTTTTTTGCACGATCGAGATAATGATAATCGAAACGAAGAGAGGGGTGAAAAAAAAAGAAAAGATAAAATGAAAAATGGATAATGAAAATTTTGATCGATCGATAACTAAGACTCACCATAATTCTAGACTCCATGATCTTCTTTCCAGCACCCATGTAAGTCATTCCGAAACTACGAAGTTTCTCATGGAGGAACCTTCTTTGATCCTTCCACATAGCGCCCTCGGTATTAATGACACCTATGAAAAAGAATAAAGAGATCCTAAGCCGTGCGAACTCACGTATGCGGTACACGCGGATACTCGTTTCGTTTTCGCGACATCAGTGCCGATCAGTCCGACCTATCGCGCGGACGATCGATTACAACATCGCATAGTACGAGTTAGCATTGACCGAGAAGTTGAAACGAGAGAGGTGTGGAAACGATGCGCTAAAATAGACTGTGATCGATCCATCGATCTATCGCGATTTATCGCGATCGATATTCGCGAAGTCTCAGAAGTAAGAGTAAGAAGTAAAAAAGAAAAAAAAAAAAAGAAAAAAAGAAAAACAGAAAGAAGAAGAAAGAAAGAAAATAGAAAAGAAGAATGCAAAAGGACAATTTTCACGAAACTAACGAATGGTATCTCGTATTAGTTAAAAACTTATCGATAATATATAATGATCGTTTGTACACTCACCGTATCCACCGAGGATGTTGATGAATTCTGTGTGCGGTCTACCGCTGAACTCCTCGCGACGGAAAGTATCGCGGATAACCCGATAATCGCTTAAAACAACGACGAGTTGTGTTCCGAGGCGTGCGCTAAACATCGAGCCGTACTTCTTTGCCAGCTCGCCGTACTGTAGGTGGACGTCCCCTTTGAGGAAAGGTAGGTAGCCAAAGACTGGCACGCCCCACGGGCCGGGCGGTAGGGTACGGATGTACCTCAGCCACTGAATGCACCTCACAATCAGGAGTACACCCAAGAACACGAGGAGGGTGTATAGAGCCTCGATCCTGGTGCCGCCCATCGCTTTCCAGATCCACTGTGCCGCGTGTTCCACCAACATATTGTCGAGTTCGTCTTTTTCTTGTCGATAAATAGATCCCGGTTGTAGTATGAACGATAGTCGATAACTAATACTCGATACAATCGATCGGTACCGTAACGATATACACTCAAGTGTTTGTTGCTTCGCGGTATCACCAATTTTATATATATATATATATATATGTTGTGTGTGTATATATATATATTTTTTATATATGTGTATATATATATATATATATATATGTATCTATATATATATCGTTGAATGGGGTAAGGGGCCCCTCTCTTTTTCTCAAAGACGAATGAAGAGAAAAAAGAGAAAAAAGTAAGAAAAAAAATAAAAAAATAAAAAAAGCGAAAAAAAAAAAAGAAACAACAACAACAAAAAAGATAAGAAATGGAAAAGGCCGATTTCCGATATATCGCTTTAGCACGCGATTCTTCTCTCTTTCGGCCGATCCTCGAAAGCGTGCGCGTGCGTTTCAGAGGATCGCAATCCGTGATACTACTCTCTCAACTACCGATCCTCGTCGGCGGGCGACTCGCTCGCCACTCTCGCGTGAAACGATCAGGAGTACGCCAAACGAAAAGAGAGGATATATGGAGTTGGTTAAAAGGGAGGGGGAGAGAGCTCTTGATAGAGACTGATAGGAGCGAGCGAGAGAGACGGAGAGAGGAATAGGTGATATGAGACTAAGATTGAGAGAGAGAGAGAGAGAGAAAAAGAGAAAGAGATAGGAAGAGGGAAAAGAGAGGAGAAAAGGAAAAAGAGAGAAAGGGAGGAGAAGAGATAGATAGATAGATAGAGAGAGAGAGAGAGAGAGAGAGAGAGAAAAAAGTCGGTCACAGCCGCAGCCGAATTCGCCGGCGCTCGTCACGTCGGGAGTCGTGCGAGCCACGGGAGGATTGAGTGTGTACTAACATACACCTTCTTGTCCTTGCCTGTCTTATATAGTGACTCATCAGGCAGCGGCCCCACGGCGGCCCCTCTGTGCGGCGGGGTGGGGGCGCCCCGTAGATCAGCGGCGGCAGCAGCAGCAGCAGCAGCAGCAGCAGCAGCAGCAGGAGCACAGAACGGCACAGCATAGCATAACACAGTACAACAGAACAGATCACAGAACAGTACGGCAGAGTACAGTACACATGGCACAATATACAATAGAAAAGTACGGCATGACGGAGAAGAGGCACGATAGAACGCAGAATACCTTAGCGTAGCACAGTACAAAAGTAACAGAAAGAGTAACAATTACAACAGCAACAGCAGCAGCAACAGCAACGTTTGCAGTAGCACACGTTGAGAAGATCATTCGGGCTTCGTCACGTCGTACAGTGGTGAGGGCTCAAGAGGAGAGGGGAGAAAGGGGCAGAGAGTACGATCGTCAGCCACGAGGGTGGTGGGCAGAACACGAGCGAGGGTGCGAGGGCGGACCAAACCCTCGGGCCCCCCGCAACGGACCCCGCAAAGTCCGGAGAGAGTCCCTCTGCTGAATGGTGGGGGTAAATGTGGCTTCTCGCTACGGAGAGCCGCTTCGAGCACTCAGACGGCGCGATGCGGCGCTAGTGAGCGCGTCGTCCGCTCCGATAACATTTTCGTATATTAAAATCCTCATGCCATATAATGGCAATATATCTTCCGCCTTTTTATTACGACGTTATTCTCGCATATTTCTCGCATTTAATTATAGTGCGGATTGTCAAAAGGAAGTGTGCAAATTTTGAGTTCCATTTCTATTTCTATTATTGATTGTTATTTAACTCGAAAGAGGCGTCGACGATTGGTTCATCGGTAACGTCGAACGTCCTGATATCGAGCGATCGCTTCGTTCGTGTAATTTCGTAATCCCGATGTGTTAAATGTTTAATATTTCAACCAATGATCTCTCTCACGCACGTTTTATAACTTACGAAGTCAAATCATACGGTACGGCACACGAGTACGTATGTACGTATGTTACGTATATGTATATATATGTATGTATTAATATATGTATGTATTAATATATGTATGTATGTACGTAAAAAAAAAAAAAAAAAAAAAAAGAAAAAAAAATTTTGGTGCGGATACATTTATAAGTGTTGAGATAACGAAATAATAATATTTTATTAAAGAAACGATGAACGTATTTAAAGATTTCCGTCGATCGTCGTTCTTAATCATCGTAGACGTTTTTTTTTTTCTTTTTTTCCTTTTTCTTTTTTATTTAACGATTTAGACGTGGTATCAACGCGTAAATATACGATAACGAGGTATCACTTTAACGAATCGTAAAATACGAATGGACGAAAATTTTCGGTACTAACCACGCACGAGAGAAGCACGTTACGAAGAACGTCTGACCTATTTGTGTATATTTATTCGTCCGGTACGGTGCAACCTGTCCAAATAAGGGGAACCGCATTCGGACAAACGATACCGGCCTACAGGCCGTGCAAAATGCTCGTCCATCCTCGCCATAACTGGCGAAAAGCGCGCTCTCCTTCCGTTCCCTACCTGTTTCTCCTCTAAGGGTGAGTGAGTCACTTCGTTCGTGGATATTATGATTTAAAAAGAGAGAAAAGAAAAGGAAAAAGAAAAAAAAAAGAAGAAGAAGAAGAAGCAAAAAAAGGAAAAAAGCACAGAAAAGGGAAGAAAGAAGAAGAAGGAAAGAAAAACAAAACAAAAAAAAAAAGAAAGAAAAGAAAAGAAAAGAACAATAATAAATAATTAATTAATTAATTATTGTTTCTATTCTCTCAATTAAATATACTGCTTTTTTTTTTTTAATTCTCTAAACGACGTTTAACCGGTACCCACTCGATAAATCTCTCTCTCTCTCTCTCTTTCTCTCTCTCTCTCTGTCTCTGTCTCTCTCTCTCTCTCTCTCTCTCGGTCATTGGTGCCGTCGATAACCGATTTACATCGCATGCGACTTATCATTATCCTTCGTTTTACTCGGCACGTACTTACTTACTTACTTACTCGCGCTTCAACGAAAAAAAAAAAAGAAAGAAGAAAAAAAAGAAAAAAAAAAAAAGAAACATTTTATTGCGATTCGATAGCGATGTCGTCATCGCTACGGTCGTTCTGGACGTTCGTATACGTATGATCCTTGAAAGATTATTATTGCGATTGAGAAGAACGGCAATGATTTTATTCGGAGCAACGACACCTTCTTATCGGTGTTGTAACAGCAACGAGTGAGCGATGATGACCCGAAGGCCATTCGCTATTCTCGAAAACTTTTTATAATCCAGGAACCACCAGATTAATGCCCAAATTAATGCCCGAATTAATCCTCAATATAAGTTCTTGTTTACACGTGCTCATCTCTAAGTGATTTCAACGAATTCATTTCTAAATCTAATCCAATCATTTCCTGTTCTTCTACGATTGATCGATCGATCGATCGATCAATCAATCAATTTTTCAATGTTTATATATATATATATGTATATATTATGTATATATGTATGCATGTGTATATATATATATATATATAATATAATATAATCATTCCATCAGACACTCGAAACACCTACAGAATCGGATTACAATGGTATTCGTACGTTACGCAGAAAGCCGATTCTCGGACGGAAATCATTATAAAAAAAAAAGAAAAATGAGAGAGAGAGAGAGAGAGAAAAAAAGCAATGAAAAGAAAAAAAATCTGAAAAACGCGAACATATTCGAAATAATGGATCTAGGGATAATGCGCTTTTAACTTTAATCGTAGGCGTAGCCAAGCAAATAATCATGGCGATGGCGATACCAGAGCACACGAGCTTACTCTCTAAGAATGCAACACACGTTTTCGAGAT